TTCTAATCTTTTTCCTAAACAATGGATCTGAACGATGTTTCATAAATCCGTACATTCGAAGCACACCTATGCGCGCATTTGTAGATGATAAATGAGTAAAACTAAAATCTCGTCGAAACCGGGTAGTTTTAAGTGGTATTTGCAAGATTTTGAGTTCTATCAGAATTTATCTCAAAATAAATGTCAACTTTGTGAACTAGACACAAAAAAATGTATCGAATAATATAACTGACAGTAGAATTTATTTGCTGTCATCACAAAGATGAGACATAACGCGGTCGAAAATATTTCTCTTAGTTCTATGTGGAATATAAACAAGATTAATTGAGTATCTTACATTAATTTAAGCGCACTAAATAAAAGTCTGTAGCATTGTGACGCCTTATTCTGACAAATAACTGTCAAACCACTCTACTGTCCATGTCAAAACAGATAAGCTCTTTCGCATATTACTAAATGGTGCTAGAATAAAATTATGAAAAATCGACAAAAATGAGTGTTTAACTGTTTAAACGACGCGTTCTTTTGATCGATATTTAGCTTTTCAAGGATGATGATCGTCATCAAACTGCTCACTATCTACGGCACGTGATTTTAGCACCAAGTGTCTTAATTACTTTGATCTAAGTGTCAGCCAACAGAACCATAATTGCGTTATTTCTCGAATAAAAAGCAAGAAGTTAGGTGTATTGGACGCTGTACACAGAGCAGAGTTAAACATCCGACTTGCTGTCAGGAAAAGATTATTCGCCTAAGCCGAAGACCACTTTTTTTATGTTGTCGATTTCGTTGAAAGAGTAAAAAAGGGTCTACTCATGCCTCTGACGAAAACGAATGTTCGACTCTTTGCTATGCTGAACAGAAAAAACATTCGACCAGCCGATGCCCACATAGAAGTAATAAAGGCAGTACTCGAAGACGCGGATGACGATGAAGGAATTCGCATAAACATGAATTCCAAGTAATTTAAAGTGTCAAAGTAGTACGATTAATTTACTCTCAAACTGGTTACCTCTAGTTTGAGAAAAATTAGTGTAACTGAGTTCAAACTAGAAAACGCTTAAACTAATGTTTGACAGAGGCTTTCTAGAAATCAAGTGTACTGCACGAACAAAAATGAAAATTCGACTGCATGAACGATTAACCTTTGACCCATTAAGTTCGAGAAAACAGCGGTATAACTGAAATTGAAATTGAAATTGAAATTTTATTTTACACAAAGGCAGGATACCACAGAAAGCACCAAAAGGACTTGTGGCATCTGGAGACACCTCATGATAACATAAACTAAAAGGTTTGGCGACTAAAACTAAAAATTATGGCTTCACGGTCTCAAGAGTAAGAAAAAACAGACGACGAGTATCGATTTGATCGACGATCGTGGTCCCGAAGGACCGGATGTGATGCTTCAGTCTCATAACATAGAGTTTGATCGAAGATCGCGGCTCGTCTCTCTCTTTGTTTCAGTAGCTTCTATTTGTGATAAAATAAATTTCGAGGTGTGCAATTATTATTTTTACTATTCTAAAGTGACAGAACAGAATAAAACAACAGAGTGCTATGCCTTTTAAAAGCAATGTGTGTGACAGTTTTTCGAACTACTTTGGAACAAAAAGTGTTAGAGAGCTGAGTTTTTCGCGAATCGCAGTACGATGCTTGGGACCTCGTTCACTGGACAAAACTACTTCCAAAAATCTGTTTGTAAGCTAAGGGAAGCCGTCAAAAGTCGCATCGGTGAATTTATTCACCGGTGAATATTTTCACCGGTGAATAAATTCACCGATAACTGGATTGGAAAGAAAATTGAGAACAGAATTATTCAATATGCCTGAAAAAAAGAATATGGAACTATCGTATAATAGAATGAACATGTATGTATATATCTTTTTCTGTGCTATACTTGACCTGATGTTTTCTTTCTTTTTATGCACACTATAAAGAGAGATATAAAGCAAGAAATGGAGAAAAGAACAAATTTTATCGTTTTATCCAAAAGAAAGATTCCCTTCGCTATGAAATTCGCATTTATTCTAGCAACTTCCCAGATTAAAAAGTTAACAAATTTGAAAATACCCTTCTCCAGTTTTTCTGCCAGTTTGTAGTACACAACTTGTACTCTATAGCATGCTATTTTTTAGAAAAAGGTACGGTTTAGTTTTTGAGTTATAAGACTGCTAATATCACAGCTGAACGTATGAAAGAGTAGATATCTACTCCAATATAACAGCCAAATGAGTTTTCAGAGAGCTTTCTGAAATACCATGACTTTCCGGCTTTCTCTTCGGACCATGGTAGTCAGAGATAATGTATGTAAAATAGAAGTAAAAATGGTTAAAAGGCTGCTTTTTATCCATAGTCAGTATCTTCTTGAAACAAACTTTGGTGTTTTCTTCTTTCTATGCATACTATAGAGAGAGATATAGCAAGAAATGGAGAAAATAACAAATTTTATCGTTTTATCCAAAAGAAAGATTCCCTTTACTATAAAATTAGCGTTTATTCTAGCAATTTTCAGGTTAAAAAGTTAACAAATTTGAAGGTACTCTTCTCCAGTTTTTCGACGAGTTTGTAGTACACAACTTGTACTATATACCATGCTATTTTTTAGAAAAGGGTCTCTTTTACTTTTCAAGATATAGAGATCTTAATATCACAGACTGTAAAATGTATGAATTTCACTTTAATTTTAGAAATCGCACGAATTTGGAATGACAAACATAACTTTCTTCATCACTTTTCAGAACATCATAGTCAGAGAAGCCCAAGTTCTATATTTTTTCCCAGTAAAATCACTACAAATAAATTGAAACAGATCCATTTTACTAACTTTTATCTTTGATATTGATAGCTCTATTTCTTAGAAACTAAAGGAACCTTTTTCTGGAGAATATGGCAAATATATTACAATTTGTGTACTTCAAATTAGTGTAAGAAGTGAAAAGGAGCCCTATCTAATTATTCCAGTTTTAATTAGCGAAATGAGCAGAATACAGAATTAACTTAGAGCTAGGGCACATTCAATAACTCAGTCTTCTCCTTACTTTTTTCGTTTAAGAAAAAACGTTTGTGTGCTCATCTACAAAAAGAGAATCAGAATTAAGAATTGTATGATCGAAGAGAATAAAAAAACATGCTTATTTTCCTGTGAGAATTATTTATACCCACATAGATAAAAATGTATACAGATGATGTAAAATATACAAATTACAAAATACTATATACAGAATATGTACACCACGTGTAATTTGTTAATTTCGAAGAAAATGAGTGAGGTATAAGATAAGTATAACTGGATTATGTTATCATGCAAAATTCAGACAAAATTTTTCCGAAATAGATAAGTCTGTTATAAGTGATCCGTTTTACGCCCAGTTTGAATAAATGAAACTTTAAGAGACTTATAATTCGGAACATTGATATATTTTGGAGAGGTGTCCCATCACCCTCACGTCACTTCTTCAAAGACAACTAACCGCTCTATTTCAACAGGTTATTCTTTTATCAATCGATCAAAAACACATCCTTTTCTTTTACAGTTTATGCTACTCTGATACTATTTTTCTGGGAAAAACATGAAGTTCTTCGCGAGAAACACCGATTTCTACGGGGAAAAACATGAAGTTCTTGTGGAGCAGCACCGATTTCTTCAGGAAAGAACATGGAGTTCTTGTGGAGAAACACCGTTTCTTCAGGGAAGAACCTGACGTTCCTGCGGAGAGACACCAATTTCTTCACGAAAAAACATGAAGTTCTTCGCGAGGAACACCGATTTCAACCGGGAAAAACATGGAGTTCTTGTGGGGAAACGCCGTTTCTTGAGGGAGAAAGATGAAGTTCTTGTGGAGAAACACCGATTTCTTCAGGGTAAAACATGAAGTTCTTGTGGAGAACCACCGACTTTTACAGGGAAACACATGATGTTCTTCTAGAGAAACACCGATTTCTTCAGGGTAAAACATGAAGTTCTTGTGGAGAACCACCGACTTTTACAGGTACTAGTCCTTAAAAATAGGACTAGAATACTCCAAAGAAATAATAGAACTAGACTGATTATGAAAAGACATAAGCATAACAACCCCAAAACCTATAAATAACATTGATTTAAATATTGCATAAATATTTAAATGAAAAAAAGCAACTTTATACAAGCCTACTGATATTAAAAACATTATAATAGAAACATGATTCATAGTTGAATAAGCAATAAGCTTTTTTATATCTGACGCATAAACTAATCCTAAAAACTAATAAATAAAGTTAAAGACCTTAAAAATTTAAGAATAACTATATACTCCAACAAACAATAACTGAAACGTATAATAACAAACACACCAGCAACAACTAAAGTAGAAGAGTGAACAAGAGCAGAAATAGGGGTAGGTGCTCTCATAGCAGATAAAAGTCGAAACCTAAAGGGAAACTAAGCACTCTTAACGCACGCACCTCAAATTAACAACTCTAAAAACAAGTAGGTAAAAACTCTTAAATTCATAATAAGATAATAGTTTATATATAACAAAGTAACAATAAAAAAAAAATCACCTAAACGATTCTGAAATAATGTAAATATTCTATTAGTCAGTCTAATAAAATTCACATAATAATAAATTAAATAAAAAGACACAACCCCTAAACCGTCTCAACCCAATATTAATCAATAAAAACTATTAATAAAAATCAAAAACTGCATTCTAAAAACAAATAATAAATATAAAACTACAAAAACATTAGTAAATATATCCTTTATATATATATATAACAAAAAATAATTACAATTGTACTAACCATCAATACTAATAAAGAAAACCTAAGCCTCCATAAATCAAATAAAACCTCTAAATCTAAACCAAACAAAATTCCAATCTTCAAATTAAAAACCAACATAAAACTACTAATTCTTAAAAAGCATAAAAACAAAACAATAATCATAAAAAACATAACTAACCTCACATATAAAAATGTCATTTTCAGAAAACCTATATGACCACAACATATAATTATTAATCTAAAAATAATACTAAAACTAAGCTAATTATTACACTTAAATTACTTAAATTCAAATTAATAGTTAAACCTTGTCCTAAAGTAATACTAAAAATTATAAAAGTATTATAATAACAAGAAACGAGAACTCTCACAAGTATTAAAAATAAAACCAATAAACTTATTCTTAAAATAGATTTTAGTATTAAAACTTCACTCAAAAACCCCATAAAAGGAGGAAAACCTATATTAATAATTATAATAAGAAATACAATAAAAACAAAGTAAGAACTAATAGTAATATATTTTATAACTAAAATATTACGAGATTTTAAAACAGAGAGTAAACCAACTAATCAAAACATTAAAGAAGAAGAATACCGTGATAAAACATTATAAATATTCCACCTTTAACACCTAATTCAAAACCTAATATTATCACAAAATAAACTAAAGTTATATGGGCGTAAACTAGGCCTAGAAAACAAAAAAGAATAAAATAACATTAAATAACCAGCCATTAATCGTTCCAGACTATATCCCAATAATAAAATAGAAAATATAATTAAAGTAAACAAAAGTTCAAACATTAAATAAAAAACCTACCTGCTTAAAATAGCTGGGATATCCATAATATAAACGGAAACCAATTGAAAGTGTGCGATTCTTTTGCAAAAGTTTTTTTCAATGAAAATATATTCTCAAAAACTTTTCTCACCACTGAGTTTTGTGCAGCAAATTCCACAAGATGAGCCATGTGAGGAAGTATTCTTCTTCTTGGATCCAGTAATTACCTAAAGCTCATTGAGATTTTGGCTTGAATAATACTGTTACCCAGCTGTCAATACCATAGTCAATTAGAAATACGAACTGTTATTACTTGTCTCGTTTTGTCAAAAATTATGTTTGTTTTTGTTAACATACCTGGCATTAGCTTAAAACTAAATGCTATAGCTTTATTTGGACAATGTGTAAATAATTGTGTACTGTATAGAATGTCGTTGTCAAATTTTGTAGATTTCGTGTCACACTAAAAGGATAACCAGTATCAGGTGCAAAGTAAATCCCAAGGTATTTATCCTTCTCTTTCGGCATATTAACATCAAACTCTTGTATACCAGTCCTTCTCTCAATTCCATCTATAATATTAAATTGATCTTCAATTTGACATTCATCATCTTTATCGACTTGAACCAGTTTGTTGAATAAAGTGAATGAAAACTATGTGATGAGTTTAATTAAGTTATATGTGGATTTGAACTACATAGTGCAGTGTGGAAACTGGTGGATATCGAATGAATAATTCCATTACGACGTATTTGATCATTAGCGTCAAACACAGCTGGATTGTAAATATTCAAACTCGAATTACTAATATCATCTACTGTATCATATTTATTATCCACCAAAACAAGAAAAAATTATTAGAAATAATATATTTGAATAGTAACAATGTTAGAAAAGAGATCCTCAAACTTCAGTAAAATCAGCGTGATTTGTATACGCAATTCGTGAGTGAAAAGACAAGTATTCGAGTATGACATCAGAAACAAGAGCATTATTTTTGTATGTTACGTTCTAGTTTTAAAAAAAGTCGTTTGTGATCTACAGCATCACGCTGCACAAAACCCAACTTGGGTTTAACACTACAGCACCAAGTTTTTAAACTCGTACGAGTTGAACACAGCCTCCCCTATACTATATTAGAACATTACACAGTTTTGAAATCGTAACATGTTTTTCAACTCGTACGAGTTCAAAACAGCCAATACCAGATGCACTTAAGCGTTTTTTCATCTCGTTATGAGTACGAATTTAACATGAAGTCACAAAAGCTGCTCTATAACAAATTATGCACTAAATAAAAACTAATGCGAACGAGAAAATCGCACACCGCGAAAGCTACGCACGGACAAGTTACGACTTTGTAAACGTTTTTGATGTTGTAGACCTGGCATCGAGTATGCATCCTAAATGCTTGAATAAGACAGCATTTCTCAATCAACTCTCATGCCCTCTGTTTTCCTCACCCTTATCTTCACAATTTTTCTTATGATGCTGTTCGTTTTCGCAAGTCTAAATAACCTAATTGCATGTTGCCCTTCTTCTAGATGTAGAGGGTCTGGAGTAATTCGTTTCCAATTTTTTGTTGTTGCATCGTATGGAAATACGTACATGAAACTGACTTGTTTTAAAAAAGTGGATATTTTATTTTTTTATTATTCGTTCTTTTTTCTATAAACAAAAAAATTCGTCTTATTGAATTAATCAACTTATATGATTTGATTTTAGCTACTGTAATAAATTACGGAAACTTATTTTGCTTCGACGAAACTATTACTGAGTATGATTTATGTCTTGAAGTGAAAAGGCGCACAATGTTTCGTTAGTTATAACTAAAATTTTTTGTTATTCCCCAAAATGCGTGCAGCTCCTCCAGTGCACTACTGCGATGTTCTGGCCACACGTGAATGTGAAATTCGTGGTCAGCGTAGAAAATGGTATCGGTTGGTATAATTTTATCAGAATCGGCTCAGCGGAAGTGAAGATAGGAAAACCTCCGAATCTCACGAAATATACAGAAAAAACATATCCGACTGTAATAGAAGGCAGAACAGAGTATCTTTCCTTACTGCCTCTACCGTCTGAACCAAAAAAGTATGATTAGCTGACCAAGAAATGCTCCTTTCTTGCTTATCCATGCTATTTCCACTAGGTAAGTGTTAACTTAAATTTAAGTGTTAAGTTAAATTTTAACACCCTCAGGTTCGTACCCTACTGATTTCAGCGTTTTTCTCTCTCTCATTTTCATCTCTAAGAAGGTTTTCTGTTACGAAATTCTCTCTCCCTCTCCTGCTTCTTGAAGATAAACAAACTTAGTTTTAATTAAGGGTCTCGTTTTCCACAAGATGTTTACTAAATTCTCTTTCTCTCTCTCTAAAAAATCAAGTACTTTAATTACAGAAAATCACACAAGAAAGCAAAATGAGTTCAGGCCTAGAATTATTAACTACACCGAAATGTTATATACCATTCTTCCGTATTCAGCTTTGTCTCGTGCCAGTTGTTCTAATTCTGGAACAGTTAGTGAGATAGATTCAAGATCGTTTCTCCAAACATCTACTAGTCGTGTTCGAAGTTTCCCTCTTCTTTGTATTCCGGGTGGTTCCCAAAGAAGCATTTCTTTGGCCGATCTACTGTCTGGCATTCTAAGTAAGTGCCCAAACCACTGGAGACGTCGTTTACGGAGTGCGATCGCAATAGAAGGTTGTCCAGAAAGACGTCCAACCTCGTCATTGGTGACATGATCTGTCCAGTGGATGCCCAAAATATGACGTAAGCATCTGTTCTCGAAGCATACCAATCGAGTATGAAATAACAAAACCGACATAGAAAATGATGGAAATAAACAGTCCACATAGTGCACTTTCCCATTCAATGCACAAGCGAAAAACTCAATAATCTGTCAACGTAATCACATTATTTTCGCAGGGTCCTCCGATGCGAACTTAACTAAAGGAAGTGTCGGGTCGCTAGCGCCAGCCCGAGTGAAACAGCCTCTAGAGAAGATACTCCAGCATCGCGTTATTAAGACGAAACATCTAATTCTCCTGTATCCTTGGCAAAAGCGATGCTGGACTTATCTGTGCCCGCGGCCTTGGCAGCAAGATCTGATGATGATGATGATGATGCAGAATGACGAATAAAACGAACCTGACTGTTTTACATGGCATTATATGTCATACACCACAACTCCTGTCATCTTCAGAACACATTAATGGAAATCAGAAAGATGTGAAAGTAGAGTTGTACAAAATTCCTAAGTTTATATCTTAGCAGTTATAAATGTGTTCATAATACTCTGAACCGAGCCAAAAAATTAACTTTCATAATCAGTTTTCATTTTGTAACTACTGGTCTGACATTTATTTTTATCTGTAAAAGACGAAAATAGAACAGAACTACAGTAAAAGAAAAAGAAAAACGCATAACAATAATTCGATTGTAAAGGTTTTTGTTCGAGAGTGATATAAAAAAATACTTGACGTGTTCATTTTCTTCGATTTTTTTTCTGCTGTTGAGCCTCAAAAAGATGACGAATAAACCGGTCCTGTTAGTTGAATATAATGAAACAATACATCGTATCGTTGCTGACAATCCATTTATTATTGTTCGAAGTGTTTCAGAAAACATCCAACAAAAATTTCATATTAATCATCCGATTAAGTTAACATTACATAATTGTATTCTTGATCCAGCTGATAATTTAAATGATTTATGTTTAACTTAAATCAAGCTAGGTCCTCGTCACCGCTTTTTGTATTTCTCAGTTATGAATGGTCTCATCAAAAACACGTTTTACTGTTAAAACAACACCTTGAATCAATTGGTATTGATTGTTGGCTTGATATTGAACAACTAGGTGGTGGAACAAAATTATTGCGTGATATTGAATTTGGCATGCGTGCAACAGATTTGGTTGTCTGTTGTATAAATAGGAAATATTCTTCGTCAGAAATGTGTTGTCGTGAAGTTACTTTAGCTGTACAACTTGAAAAACCTATAATACCATTGTTATTTGAAGATATTGAATGGCCCCCAATCGGTTTAAGTACCGCAATGGCTGAATATGTTTATATACGATTTTATTTAAAACAAAATGAAAAACAAAATATAGTTGCGACTAGCGAACAGTTTTGGTTAAATAACAAGTTTGATGAACTAGTTAGACAAATTTATAGATTTTCTTGAGAATTTATATTTCAAAGAGAACCAGACGGAGTTAGCTACAAAATTCATAAACACTTTTTACTATTTATTATAGTGAGATGTAATAGTGATTCACTGAAAGTAACTCAATAGCCTTCATTTTCAAAACTAACGGGTCAAGCTACTCGAGTTGGAACTATCCAAAAATTAAAGTAGTTTTTTTTCTGATGGTTGTTATTCTCAGGCTTCCACATTAAAGAGGATCCTGCACTTTTATTCTGTTTTGCATGTTAACTTCATTTTACACTTTACGCAAATAATGTGAACTCTTACGTCGCTTTAGTATATTGCCATAAGAAAAATTTCGTTTTGCAGTTAGAGTAAGTCATTTTCGATTATTTTCGATTTCGAGTAGCTTGAACTTTGGGTAAGTCGAAGCTCGGTGCATACCTATTCAAAACTACATACTGTGATCCCACCCCCCAGGCCATCGTCTAACTTCTATCTCTCATTGGAAGGAACCATCTCAGAGACGGTGACCTGAGTTGCTTGCTTTTTGCACTCGAATCTATTAACGACAACGTTAAAAAAAGGGTTTTCAACTTAACTAAACACATACATAAAAAATACTCTACATAGTGCATTAATTTCATTCCTACTATATAATTCTGCAACTTGAATCCGATAATAATATCAATGTCATTCAATATTATGGACAACTTTCAATTCGTCTTTCTTGTTTCGAATTCGAATTCTTTTGTGTTTTACTTTCAACAAGACAGTAGATAGAGGGCTGGCAGGAAAAACATTTTTTTCTACTTACCTAAATGACGAATACAGTGCAAATCATTTTCTTCTGTCAACTCTTCAAGTAACAGTTGATTGTTTTTCTTTATACCCGGCCGCGTTATTGGATTAACAAAATAAGCCATGGTTGTTGTTTGCTGTCTGAGTTCGACTATTTGAAATGAATCGGTCTCCGATGATTCCACGTTGCATTTATTTAGTAACCAACTAAATAATAATGGCGTATAATACAAAATATGTTCGTCTCTAACAGCTGGTGAACAAAATAAACGCAACAGGTCGGCTAAAGACGCAGCTAATAATTGTTTTTCAAATTTAAACACGGTCCCTTCCATCACATGTTTCAAAGCTAGAACAGCTGGAAAAAAAAGATATTCACGTAAATGAATAAAAAATTGAGCTTCTAGGGCTTTTCGATAACCGACATGAAGTAAAGCGTTTCGATATGCTTCGTCACCATCTTCAATATCATTGATCGGATGGAAAAACATTCGTAACGCACATAGTGCACTAAGCAAAACACTTGATGAACTACGGCTTCCACCAACATAAGGACGGTCCCATTCACGTGAATTGTGAAGTATTTTCTCCGGTTGAGTTTCGTAATCATAATTTTCTTTGTATGATTTCGGCGACGCAAAGATATAAAAGTGCGGCAAATCATTAACATTCAATGGTAATAATTTAATAAAATCCACTACTTTCTCTTTATATGTTGTTTCTGATGGAAAAATGTGCATACGATGGTTAAATAATAAAAGTTGGTGGCTTGAACTACGGCATTTTTCGCTATCGGTCTTGTCGATATCCTGCCATAACATATCAATCAAATCTCCGATAGATGTTTCATCGTAAACGGTTCTCTCATACAAGTTTATTTCGAATACGAATCTTTGTTGAACGATATGGCGGTGGAGATGGTGATTGCCCGTAAACAACGTATTTATCGTCGTCATTATCACTAGCTGCTGATGCGTGCCGCTTCCTATGATATCCCGATTTTATTATTTGTCGTTGTTTCACCGATGAACTTCTACTTAATTTTCTGGAGAGATATGTATCGTTATGTATATTTATAATACCAGCGGGAGACTGGTCGGGTGCATCAGCATTACCTGTGTGAACTGATCGTCGATTCTGTTCTGTTGTTAGTGGTCTTTCTAAAAAGAAAACTTTTCATGAGCGTCTGATGAGGCCCAAAAAGCTTGAAAAGTAAGGAGTTAAGAGCCACTGTCTGAGAGGATCACACAACGTCAGACATGGTGGTTATACTCAAGTTAACCAATTCAGCTGAGATTTTTACCATATGTAGTAGATATCAATACAAGTTTATGGTAAAAATTGGAGACTTTGATATTGCTTTGTTGAACAATTATACGTGTAGCAAGTCATTGAGGTCTGATATGAGAAAAGAGTGATGTTTTCAGAAAAAATTATTTTCTCAAAAATTATCAGGAATTGAGATTTGATGCTTTTAGCATATAATCTATACCGTAAAAAATAAAGTGTGCTCGGGACATACTGAATGCTCCGGACATCACGCTGGACTTTTTGCACACCGAAAACGCCTTGTTCAGTGGGCCTATAACACACTGTAGGAGGTGTTATGTCATTGCACGAAAAATTCATCTTCAAGGACATCTCCAAAGCGGATACCTCGTCGGAAAAAGCTATCTAGTTTTTTTTGGTAAAATATAGAACGTTCATTCTTGCACCATCCGCTCGATCTTTATTCGTACTAGAAAAGTATAACTCGTTGTTTTTGTAATCCCTCTTCATTGCTGAGAAATTTCACTTTTGCTAAATCAGGAGCAAAAAAATTGGAATTCTGCCCGTAATTCTAGGGACTATATTTAATGGATGGCCCTAATGTTGACTACCAACTGGACGTTCCCATGTTGTCTAAACCGAACGAAAACCGGCGGTTAACCACGGTTATTTCAGCTGACACCATAGCAACACAGCAGAAAAACCCACGATTAACCTCACAATTATTATTGGAAAACTTAGTAATCACGATCAGCAAAGTAAATAGAGGCTTACTTATTTTTTCGTCGCATGGAGGTTTTTGTCTCCGTTCGTTTTCTTTCCAAGTGTCCGATATGTTGGCTTTTGAATCATCTTTCTTCTGTCATTTTTCCTTAATGTTTGAACGCATCTGTTCTCGTTCTGGAGTTTCATCTTTGTCGCAACTTGGATGCTTAATTGATGTTAAATGTAGCGTCTTCCTGCCTGCTGTTGACTGTATTTGATGTGAAGATGCGTTGTTTTGAAGCCGAGGAAGGTCAGGTGTTATAACGAGTCGATTCGTTGGTGGTTCCGATAAAATGTGTCCTTGTGTAGTTTGTTGAACAGGATTGGTCATTGTCCAACTACGCCTTCTCTGCTCTGTAACATCGCGCATACGGGTTGGATCCGAATCTAGAAATTCTTTTACCGTTTTTTTTGTCTCATATAATTTTTCGTGGTCGGGGTTTGTCAATGGCTCAAAGTTTCGAGCATCGATTGGTTGTCGACGAAACGTGTCTAGCAATTGACTGTCTCTTCTAACACGTTTAACTTTAACGGTAATTAAAGTATTTTCTGTCAGACTACTATCGAAAATTGTATCATCTAAATCAATTTTTGCATTTCCATCCCATAATTCAATTTCATTGTTAATATTAAATTTTTCGCGTATAATCAATGCTAAACTTTCACATGATTTGAACGGCTCAATTGAAATCCATCTTGCTTCCTCGTTAAATGCTACTTTCAATCTTCTTTTGTCTGTAGCTGTACCCATTTCGTCTACTATCTTACTCGAGCCTTTTAACGGAATTCATAGTGGCACGGTCCTTGGGATAAAAGTAATATGTAGTGTGAGCTTCTTCTGCCGATCCTTCTAGCCAGTTTTAAATCTGGTGGAAAGAACCAACTTACATACGCAAAGATACGCCCTTTTACATACCGTTTCCTTTCAAAAATGATGTATTTTCGTTATGTTTCATTCTTTTCATTGTTAAGTACTTTTCTTATTTTTTTCTTTTATTGTATTAAAAGTGTTCATGTGAATTTCTCATTATCACAGTTAAACGAAATATTAGAGAAGGTAAAAATACTTTGTTTGTCACTCTTGTTTCGAGAGATCACCGCTGAAACGATCATAACATTAACAGTAAAGAAGTTCTCGCTCTGTTTGAACACTCTGATCTGTTCCGACTGATTTAACATGTGTAATATTGGAGTACACATTGGTTTAAACTATACTTATTATAAGATAAGTTTTTTGACGCTCCATGCTCTCAATCGGCGTGCCATTGTATAGTGAGAAGTGCAAGTCCACGATATTGTACGTTACCAATAACACACATTATTTATCATCCGATGATAAATAATGTAATATAATAATAATTTCTATCATTGTGCACATATGGCATATGTGCACAATGATAGAAATTATGCGCATATCTAGAAAAATTATCAAGTGGTAAGATCAATGTCAGAAAAGTAAAAGCAACAGAAAAATAGTGAGAAAGACAAAAATTTTCAACTATCAAAATTATTTCTTGTGTTAAAGTTTTGAAAGTAAGAAAAACTGAATTAGCCATTTTGTAGCCCTGACTTCGCTCTATCTTTTAGCTACGCTTCAGATTTTTTCACGTCAAAAGCCACAGCGAAATAATAGTTTTTCTATCGGTTGTCATGAATTTTTTAAATTTTTGGTATAAAGCCCAATAACTCCATCAAAATAAAAGCTTTTTCGGTCGGGTTTGCTTTGTTTTGATCAGAAATGATTGCTCGTCTCCATCTAACTGCTAAATGAAACTTCAATCGTCTTTTTCGTTTCTTGATTGAGCACATTGTAGGAAATGGGGAAGTTGTCAACTTTTGATGTATTTTTGTAACTTTGTTCTCAAGCACACCATCTGCTCTAAGAAAATTTTTTACAGACCACGAGAAAGAGCACATTTGAAAGTACTAAACATAAACTGCGTTCTCCCTTTTGCTACACTTTTTAGGGAAAATAGTAGCAGAAGAAAAAGTTCAAGTCGAAATAATTTTTGAGTTTCAAAGTTTACATTTTTTTCGACTTTCGTCTAATTGGCTTAGTTTTCTTGATTGAGGTTCTGAAATTATAGTTTACGTATGATTTTGTAGAGTATTGAATGGCGAATCTTTTAAAAAAAAATTTGGCCGATAGCGTCAAAACTGACTGACTTATAGCGAAAATAAAGTAGTGTAATTCTTTATGGTCCACCCATTATGATTCATACCTGTTGCTCTAATATCTTTCTTCGAACTCTTTTGCGTTCACTTTTTTCCAGCTTTCCAAAGCATCCTGCATTTCTTTCTCACGTATACGATTTTGTTTTTCTTTTTCATGATTCTTAGTATCTAAAATATGATGTAAAGTGCGAGGTGCAGTTTCTCACAGTGGTAGAAGTTTTTGTTGTATACCTTTGGTTGTGATCAATAGGAGCTATCTGAGGCTCTCGCACGTCCTCTTGCTTGTACAGTGCCAATTTCGTCAGAAACAAACTCGTATCGAATAATATATGAACACTGAGGAACGTCTAAACCCTCTTGAACAAGATCTATGAGAAAAATGATCAATTTGCAGTAAAATGGTTGATGCTTGAGATACGCAAGGCTTACCTGTCGAGACTAACACATTGCACTTTCCTGACGATATTAAATGAATGATCATTTGATGTGCGTACAGGCGTGAAGAGCGACTATTTTTAGAAATTGGCTGAACTCCAGTGCAAAGAAGCTTAGAATTCGTTTTTAATCAGTTTTGTGCAAAGTTGTTTCAGACAGGTTGGATCTCGCGGTTGCTGTCATCTTAAACAAGTATCTTAGTGCCGAAATCAAATCGCAGACTGAAGCTTGGGTAAGATTGTCGACGATTATTCAATCTTTATAGAGCTTTCATGTGCTTTTTCTCTTGCATACATCAATAAATTTTCATGCCGATCACCGCAAAAGTGTCAAACTTTGTAGCGTTGTGGTCGCTGCTGTTGGTTAACGAAACTTTTTTTTCACTTAAAACTGCGTTCGATAAAGTGTCGCTTAGATGTTTAAATAAACAAAGTCTGCTTAGAATTAGAGTTTTGTAAAAAAAAAAGCCCGTGCCTCAAACGAGTGTTCTTTTTATTCGGCGACGGTGCTGGCAACCGATCAGTTTCTATGCTTAACCAAGGAACTAAGCGTGATATTATTAACATTTGTATAGAAGAATTCTCTCTATCTTTTACATAACTTTCGTCATTCAACGGTCCGAGTTAGGTATGCGCCGGTATTGGTATACCGAACTTTTATTAGTACGACCTTTCTGGATTTTTCCATTTGAAATGAGATATTTTAGCGTCCTGAACAGGCAGAACACCTAAAAAACACTCAGCCGTGTATTCTGACCAGGAAGCCTATGCAAGTGAAACCTTCTGTTTCCAGTATTTATACGTCGATTGATAGAGTATATGGAGGCAGTAAAAAGCCTAAAAGGATTTCGGTCGATGACTCAACCTTCAAAAGTTAGAGCGATTTTTCTAGCTTTTCCAAGGGCAACACGAAAACATTCAAAAATTCATAACTCTATCAAGAAAAGTAGTTAAAAGCTCAAATTTCATAAATGACATGGTTTTGATCGGCATAGAAAACCAACCGAAATTATATAACTTGAATGTTTTGTAACTCCGGTTATCAAGGAGATCTCTGGAGACCTCAGCATCTACAGCCAGCTTGAGAAGCCTTTTTTGTTTTCATAAACGGAATTAGACTACAAAACCATGTCATTTATGAAAGTTTCAACAGTTCCAGTAGAAAACTAACGATTTTGGAAGCCGTTATATTGTGACCCTATTCAAAGGGCTAATCTGTGGAAAACTTAAAATTCAATAACTCGGGAATGGAATGAGTTGTAAAGAGGGCTGTTAGAATACACAAAAAATGTGTAAAATACTTTTCTCTACGAAGATGTGGCAGCAGTCTTTTTTCTACTTTTTCTTCTACTCTTCTACTCTTTCATACTTTTCATACTATTCTACTTTACATACTTTTCATCGCTTTCATACTTTCCATGCATACATTTCATCTTACACATTTTTTGTGTATTCCAACAGCTCTGGTTGTAAAGCTGGAGCCTTGTATGAATATCACAGATATATAGAAGAGCTGTGGAAATAAATTTGAGCTCGTAACTACTTTTCTTGATAGAGTTATGAATTTTTGAATGTTTTCGTGTTGCCCTAGGAAAAACTAGAAAAATCGCTCTAACTTTTGAAGGTTGAGTCATCGACCGAAATCCTTTTAGGCTTTTTACTACCTCCATATACTCTATCAATCGACGTATAAATACTGGAAACAGAAGGGATCACTCCAAAAGTTTCCTAGTGAGCATAAGCAGGGGAAAAAAAGAAAATTTTGGCGGTAGAAATCAAAGCTCTTGTTTTCGCATACCTGATTCTTTCTGAGGTTTCAGGATGGTAAACCATCTTATTCCAAACGAAAATGTCCAAAAAAGTTCAAGTAAAAACTAGTTGGTATTTTTGGTATCGGTATGAAAACCGATGCCGGTGCATACCTAGTCCGAGCAGACCACACAAGATATGTTTTATTCTAGAGAACTGAAACAATTCTCAATCGCCTTTTGTGAAACCGCTTCTATAGTTCGGTACTAAGATATTTCTTGAAGATGGCAGCGACCTTCTTTATGGTACATCTTTTCCGAAGCAACTTAAAATCAAGTGGATTAAATAGCCTGACCGCGAAACTTCTCGTTTACTATCGCATAAAAACAAACAAAACTTCCGACGGATCTTAACAATATTAGTGGCGAAAGTTCGTCATTGAACGTTTTCGGGCACAAACAAATTAAATTATTTCTGATCTATAAAAAGCTTTGACAAACACGAGGAATCAGGAAATCTTTCGTCCCATCTCCAAGTTTATCTACGCTATTTTTACGCTTCATTCTTCTACTAAAATACTTTTATCGCACGTTTCTCACTTTGTTGTTGTCGAAGTAAAATTCTCTTTTGTCCATAAAGAGAGAAAGACAATAAAGAGACTGACTATCATACCTTGTTTGCACACATAGAATATGTATATACACCGTTTTGTCATCTTGAATATATTTAATGTTTAATAGTCCTCGAATAAACAAAAAACAAAAATGCCGTCAGTAGTTCACATGGATCAGACGAACAAGAAAAATATAAAGATTTGAGTGTAGTAGTATCAGTTACCGTCAAACTAGAAAAGTACACATACGGGCTTTCCTCAAAATAATACTTCGAATGCAAACAATATTTTACAGTGACAGTATCTTGTCATTAATTTCTCATTGAAGAAACAATTTCATTTTAAATCAAAACGATTTCATACGTATACGATTCACAAATCATAAGTAAGATAGACGACTATGATAGATGAATATGTATATTTAGCTTGATGAGTATGTGATTGAATAGCATTTCCTCTGCGTAGATGTTAATTAGACGTGGCTAGTATAGTGAATTCACTGGGAAGACTGAAAATCAGATCGGCGTGAAATTCTCTATCGAATGATTAACAGTCACTGCACCAGTGGGACAGCGTTTTTGGATACCACTTGCTCAATCGAAGTTTGAGCTTTTGGCTCAGGATTTTACCATAAGTAGAGGCAACATATATCGGAAGATTCACAAAGTTTTTTCGTTCCGACTTCGTTAGAGCTTTTCGTAAAAGCCCTAAACATAGCCTAAAACGATACTTGCATAAAAGTTAAATTTGTGATGTTTATATCTTGGTCTGGGAAGTTAA